AAGGAATCATTCAGTTTGTTTGGTTTCCTAATCTAGGATTCACTTTTTAAAAAAATTGACCATTTTATTTTTCATTTTTTTAAAATTTTAAAATTTTTATATTTACTAATTTTTTAAATATTTTAAGTAATTTTTAAAAAAAATTTAAATACACCTAACATAAATACACTTAAAAAGTATAATATTTGTGATTTTTTTTTTTACAAAAAATTTACTAAATACCAAAAATACAAAAAAAAAATGAAAATTCAATGCATTTTTCATGTTCATGTGTATTTATTATTTGTTTTTACAAATTTTTTACTTTTTAGATACATGTAAGTAAGGTGCATACAAAAAAGTAAATAAAAAAAATTGCTTAAAATTTTAAAAATATTCACTAAAAATAAAAAATTCAAAAAATAAAATACTCAATTTTCAGAAAATTAAATTCAGAAAATTGAAACCAAACACAATGATTATTATTGCAATGATATATTTTCAAATTTTTCAAAGAAAATGCTATGAATCCCAAATAATCTACCAAATTGTAACAACCCCGACTTCTGATTAACGTTAATCCATGGTTAAATAAGTCTAATCAGTAATTAAGGTGAAATTCTGAATAAATTCTATGTGTGTGTTGCATGATTGTACTTATATTTGTTCATCATAGAAATATCTGTTTCTGTTTCTATTTCGTTTTGCGAATTGAAGGCCTTATCGGCATCTGATTATGAAATTGGCTTGATTTATGTGTTATTTGGGGTTTTTAGAATTTTATGATACATTTAATTAAAATTCAATTCGAAACGATTAAATTAGAATAATTAGTGTCCGATTAATTAGCTTAATCAATAACTTAATTAAGCCACTAATTAAGCCAGAGTTGCTAAAAATTGAAGGCATTGGACTTGGAAACTCAAGAATTAAGCCTTTAGCACACATCTTAGGAAGCCTAGGTAAGAATTCAACCTTTGCATTGTACAATTATGAGGTGTAAGAGATGAACTCTAAAGAATTAAGTAGGTTGATACAAGAATTGAGTTGTAATTAAAGAGAAATGAACCATATCATGCATGCATGCTCATTTCACCATAATTTGAAGTTATTTTCAAAGAATTCCCTCTTGCATGTCCTCATTTTGGCCTTGGTCTAAGAATTCAACATATTTTTGAGTTAGACACCCCATTAGATCATGTTTTGAAAGCTTGGAACTTGTACCTTTACATGCATGATATATATATATATATATTGTTATGTTTTCAAAGATTTGGGTTTTGACTTGAACAATTGGGAAGCTTCTAGGCCTTGATCTTGAGAAATGATTTTGAGTTCACCATGGTTTCACCATTTACAATTGTTTCCTACTGTTTTCTCAAGTTTTTGGCTCAAAAGACCTTGTTTTACAACTTTGAATTTGCGTTTTGAGCTGAGAAGAGCAATATGGAAATCCCATAATTTTACTTTCCGTTCGAGCGCCAAAACCTATACTCGAGCGACCACTCTGTGATCTTACACTTCAGCTCAAGTGACCAAAAGTCCACTCAAGCGTGAAATGCAAGATCCCAGAAGTTTCATGTTTTTGCAGACCGCTCAAGCAACAAGAGTTGCACTCGAGCAAGGACCTGAGTCTCACGCTCGAGCGACCGTCGAGCGTCCATCGAGCATAAAAATCACATAACCAATACTTTTTCAAAGTTTGCAAACCGCTCGAGCGAGGAAATCTGCGCTCGAGCGACCTCTCACATGTATGCATGTCCGCTCGAGCGAATGAAGCTGTGCTAAAGCGTGATCCCTGTTTTCAGCAAGTTTTGATAAGAGTTCCAAAGTGCATTTTAGTATCCACATTTGCGTCCTAGGCATTCCTAGGCCATGATTTAGACCCAATAAGAGGTTAAGACCCAATAAGAGGTTAAAACTTAGAAGCACACTAAGAATGAAATGAAAAGAGTTAAGTACTAGCCGACTGTGTGTTTCATTATGCCTTTTTACTATATGTGTAGGTCACGCGCCACAAGTTATCTGATTTGTCTGTTCTGCAAATGGAGCCATTTGTGAGTAATAACTCTGTAAAGTTATGTTTAATTTTAATTATTTTCTGATACTATGAAATGATCAATTTTCTGAAATACGATGTTTTGTATGAATGAATGATTGTCCAATTTCTGAAATGTATTCGTGGAATCCTTAGCACAAGGCCCTTGCTCGAGGGTAATAATACAGTGGTCTACAAGTAGAAAGCCCTTGCCCAGGGGTAATAATACTGTAGTTTCATGGCCCTTACCCGAGGGTAACAATGTTGTGGCTCAAGTATATTACAAGTTCCCGATACCGGATGTTCCTTATGGAACTAACAAGCAAGATAACGCTAATGGATGTATCATGTATGACTAAGCATGAATTCTGATTTCATATGAAGTTTGAACAAGAATATGAATATACATCTATTTTTATTTGAATTCTGATTTCTAAATTTGTTAGGGACATCGTTCATTAAAACTCTTTACTCTGTTATTATTTATTGGGCTTCTGCTCACTTTATTATATTATGTATGTATAGGTGAGTAGGTGCGTGACCAGGCCTAAGCTGCTGCTTGGAGTGTTTTAGGTCAGCCAGTCACTGTGCCTCCCGGGGAGGTTTCCTTTAAAGTGTTTAGTTTGTTACCTCGCTACAGATGTTTTTGCCTTGTTTTATTTATCTGTATATTAGGCTAAGTTCCCTTTGGCATTATCTGTGTATTGGAGTGACGTAAGACTCATGTATTTATGACATCACATATATATATACAAGTTGTTTTCAAATTTTTTGTCTCATATACATTAACACTAGGGGTGTCCGCGGTTCGGTTTGCGGTTTGGTTTGGACCCGCCCGCATGTATGCGGTTTGGAAAAAACTAAATCCGCAACCGCCCGCAATGCGATTTGTGCAGTTAGGGTTCGCGGATGTGCGGGTTGTTTGCGGATTCGACTTTTTTTCCAAAAATTTATTTTTAAACCTTTTTTTTCTCCCATTTTGTCAATCTTTATTTTGGACATTTTTTCTCATATTTTCTAAAATGCTCCAACATTAATAATTAATGAATTAAAACTTGTAAAAAACTTATAAAATAAAAAACACAACAAATTCAATTCGTAACCTAAACAAATCATTCAAAATCTACATTCTATCATTAACTTGCATTCATCCTAAATTCATCATTCATAACCCAAATAAAAAAATTGCTACATTGAAAATTCTACATTCAATATTCATCATTCAAAAAAAAAAAAAAAAAAAAAAAAAAAAAAAAAATTCTTCATTAACTTACATTCATCCAAAATGCAAAAAAATAAAAATAAAAAATCATTAACTTACATTCATCCAAAACCAAAACACAATTAAAAAAAAAAATTATTGTCAAACTTCATTCAATACAAACCCATGAAATAAAATTAAACCATTTCTAAGATATCAAACTTCATCTTCATGAACCACTTCTAATTCAACTTTCACAAATTCCAATTCCAATTCTAATTCTAATTCCATGCATTTGGTTGATGAACCCTACACAAAAACAAATTAAAAAAATATAAACTTTAATCTTCAATTATAGTAAGAAATGAAAAGATGAGTATATGAAAAAATTACCAATGAGCAAATGGATATTAGACATCAATTATAGCATCAACATTATAGGTTGAAGTTGAAGATGAGCTTGACTCCAAAGTACCTAATTAGAAGTCAACAAGAGAAGATTAATAAAACTTACATTAGAAAATGAATAACAGAAATAAAAATAAAGATAAATAAATTTCCATTTACCCGAGTCATATTGCTCAAATTCTTCCACATCATCCATCGCCTTTCGAAAAGAAATTGGAAGGTTGCTTTGAAGCCAATTTTGAGTACATACAAGAGCTTCAACCATAGAAAGCAAAAGTGAACTACAAAATGGGTCAAGAATACGCCCTCCCGTACTAAAAGCCGACTCTGATGCAACGGTAGAAATAGGCATGGCCAACACATCCCTTGCAAGTTGTGATAACACCCTATATTTGGTTGCATTTACCTTCCAATAATCCAAAATCTCAAATGCTTGATTCTTTACAAAATGTTCAACCTCGGATAAATATTGTTCCAATTCTAACTTAGATCCACTAGTGCATCGCCCCTCCAAAAAGGAATTAAATTAGGAGTCAACTAAAGAATAAGGATCATCATCATCATCATCATCATCATCTTCCACCATATTCACAACTTCACTCACACTTGGAAGTTTCTCATTTGAAAGATAAAGTGTGACATAATGGCTATACAAACGACTCAAGCAACTCTTAACCTTGTCTACCATCTCTTCCACCTTCCTATTATCTCCAAGAAATAAATTGGAAAAACAAAACTTCAAGTATGTCATTTTTTTGGTAGGATCAAAAACCATCGCAACATACAACAACAAATTGATTTTACTTCCATCCCCCCAATACTTGCTAAACTTTAGCTTCATAGTCCTTGCCATTGTGCTCAAAGTATTATCCTCTTCCAAAATTAATTGGTTAATTTTGCTTTCAATAACAAACATCTCTTTGTAGAAAACATTGGACATAACAAAGAGAGACTCCGAAAATTTCTTAGTTGCAACATAAAATAATTTTAGAAACCTCAAAAAAATTCTACACTTTTTCCAATCCAACTCATTCGGACTTCTTCTTATGCCACCATCAACATCCTTGAAATAAGGTTCAAAGTTAGAATCCACAAACTTCAATCGGTTAAAAGTCTTCTCATACTTTTCGTCGGCCTCTAACATCAAATAGGTAGAGTTCCACCTAGTTGGTACATCTAGGCATACAAGAGCTTTTGAATCAAGTTTGAGTGTGGCCGCATACTTCTTAAAAACATCATGCCTATGAGGAGAAGACCTCACATATCTCACCGCAAGTCTAATGTTGGCAATAGAATCATCCATTTCTTTCAACCCATCACTCACAAAGAGATTAAGAATATGTGCACAACAACTCATATGAATAAACTCATGTTGCAAAATAGTCCCCTTCTAATCTTTGGTTATCGTTTTCAAATATTGAATGGTAAGATTATTAGAACTAGCATTATCAACTGTTAAGGTGAATATGCTATCAATGTTCCACTCAATCAAACACGACTCAATTTTTCGACCCAATGTTTCTCCTTTGTGATCCTCAACTTGTTGAAAATTTATGATTCTTTTTTGAAGTTTCCAGTTATCATCAATGAAATGAGCAGTCAAACACATATAACACAAATTCTGAATAGATCTCCAAGTGTCCGTAGTAAAGCAAATTCTACAACCCTTCATGGCCTTCTTTAACTTATCCCTTTCATTCTTGAATATATTGAGTACTTCTCTAGATATGGTTTGACGAGAGGGAATTGGTGTGAATTTGGATTGCATGACATTACAAAATCTTCTAAACCCAACACCTTCCACAAATCTAAATGGCAACTCATCAATGACCACATCTCCGCAAGAGCCCTTTTACAAGTATCAAAATTAAAAATTGTTGCTACAACCTCAACACCCTCTTCATTTTGTTTCGGTTTAAGATTTAGTGTTTGTTGACCATCTGTATCCCTATTTGGATATTCTTTACAATTGGGTGACTCCTCAAATTACTAGTCCCATGAGTTCTAGAGTCAGCCATATACTCTTTCTTACAATATTTACATACAGCTCTACGCTTCCCATCGGTCCCTACAACCTTGTCAAAATGATCCCAAACTGTAGATGGTGCTCTCCCCCCTCCACTCTCACTCTTTCTCTTTGGGAGTCTAGGAGGCTTAGGTTCAAGTTCAGGTTCGGGTTCGACTAAGAGAGGATTCATTTGAGAATTAGAGGATTCCAGAGGTACAAGATTGATTGCGAGAGATTGAATACTATCCTCCATTTAAACTAGATTACAAAAATACAGTCACAGAATCAATTTTACAGACATAGATTCAATTTTAATAACAAATTAGATTGAATTCCAAAATTATATAGACAGATTCAGATGTACCAAAATTAACATATAGATTTAGATTAATAAATTCAGATTTTAGAATCAATTAACATACAGTCACAGAATAGGCAATTTTCAGATTCAGAATCAATTTTCAGAATCAATTAACAAAATCAACAAGTTGTCAATTTTCTGATTGTTAATTGATTTTCAAAATCTGAATCTGAATTTTCAGAATCAATTAACAATCCATGTGCATTATTTAGCTTAATTTTCTCAACTAGGTTTTAAACCTTATCTGGTTTTTCATAGGCAATTTCTGCAAGTATGATGTTCACACACTTCACATGGAGTTGAAAATCATATCAAATGGGATCAACAAAGATACATTTATATTATCATGTCATTCATGTTTTAAATACAAATGTATGCTTTAAAATACCCAAAGCAAAACACCCAAACATTTAGATAAATAAAATACAAATGTATGTTTCAACACTTCTAGCTGCTGAGAGCTGCTACACAATATGTTAAAAATTATCACCCTAACTGGAATCCTTCTTTTCATTCTAAACCTTCTTTTTCATAATACCCATTATTCTAAACCAGGGTTCACAGTTTAATACTAGTATACTAGCACATTTGATATCTCTCAATTATACTAGCACAGTTTAATACTAGTATACTATGCCTCTCAACTAGTCAATTAGATCATTATAAAGAAAAAGAAAAAGAAAAAGAAAACTACTTCATCAGGTAAGTAGAATCCATGTTGTCTACAAAAAAAAAAAAAAAAAATGTAAAAATTCTTCATACAACATTCAAACCCATCACAAAAATAGCATGCTTATCAAATAATAATCAGAATCAATTTTCAGATCAAACAAAACAAATTCATATTTCAGATTCAAATTCAGATTTCAGGATCAATAAAATTAACATACAGATTTCAGATTTCACAACTAAGATCAACATTACACAGTGTGAGACACAACTAAGATCAACATTTTAGATTTAGATTAACATACAAACATTACAGACATCATAGAATGAGGGAGACATTACACACACAGATTCGATCGGTGCAGTGCAGAGATGAGAGATCAGGGAGAGAGTGAGAGAGAGAGAGGCTTACCTGTGAGATAGTGTGAGTCCATCGGGGTGAGAGAGGGAGAGACAGAGATGAGACTGATCTGATGAGATGAGAAAGTGAGGGAGACAGATTAGATCAAAGATATCTGATATATATATATAACAACCATCGAGCCCAGAGAGAGACAGAGATTGAGAGAGAGAGTTTACCTGTGAGTAGATCGGCGGTGCGATGATCGGTACGAATCGATGAGATGAACAACGAGAGAGTGAGAGAGTGATCGTTGCAGAGATGAATGAGATCGGTGCAGAGATGAACGAGAGGGTGAGAGAGAAAGAGGCGACTGAGAGAGTGATGTGAGGGAGACGATTAGATTTAGGGTTTTTTGTTTTGTTTAGTATAGTATAGATGAGGACCAAGTATAGATGGACGGTTAGATTTGTTTGAAAAAAATAATAATAATTTAATGTGGGCGGGTTGGGCGGGTGCGGTTCAAACCCGCAACCCGCCCGCAACCCAAAATTTATGTAAAATCCAAACTGCACCCTACCCTAATGTGTTTGCAAAACCGCCCACATGCGTGTGGTTCGGATCGGGTAGGGCGGTTTAGGCGGGTCGGATAACCCTATGGCCAGCCCTAATTAACACAACTCTATGGACATTGTATATTTTCTATATTTGCTTCCGTAGGCCCTTATTATATGTTATTTTGTTAAGAGGCCTTTGATAATCCAAGAATTACTGGCCGGTTACGACGCTAAACTTATAAGGGCGGGTTTGGGTCGTGACACAAATTTTCTACCAAATCTCTCACATGTGTATGGATCTCACACGAATCTACATGGGTGTGGGCACCACACCCATGTGAGAAGTTTGACAGATTATTTGGTGTCTCTAGCATAACTCATTTCTAAATTTTCTCTTCAATAATTGCTCTGCTCATGTCACTACTACAAAAATAGATAAAGATCACACTTTTTTTGTGTAATCTTTGATCACACTTTTTAAGTTTTGTCAAAGTGTGATCTTTGGGAGTGTGATTAAAAAGGGTCATTTTTAATCACACTTTTTAAGTGTGATTAATAACATTTAGATCACATCTTTTAAGTGTGATTAAAAACTAATAAAACCCGTGTTAATAAATATTTACATCACATCTTTTAAGTGTGATTAATAACAATTAGGTCACATATTTTAAGTGTGATCAATAACTAATAAAACATGTGATAATAAACATTTAGATCACATATTTTAAGTGTGATTAATAACATTTAGATCATATCTTTTAAGTGTGATTAAAAACTAATAAAACATGTGATAATAAACATTTAGATCACATCTTTTAAGTGTGATTAATACCTAATAAAACTTGTGATTAATAATGAGATAATATCACACGTTATATGTATTTCTCATCACAGTTAATGCGTGTGATGAAAAAAGGGTTCGACATATTTGAAGAATAATCTATATTATTTTTGTACACACATTTGAAGGATGTAATACACACTATATACTATACTTTGAATCACAACCACATATTGAATGGAATGACATCATATATTTCATAAATGAAAGTTAAATATGTTCAAAAGTATATACAAATGAATTAAAAACTGTGCTTATATTTATTAAAAAATGAAAAAACTTGAAAAACTAAGTTCTTAAATTCTTTGAGCATATTTTGCATCTCTCCAAGAAATTCTGACTTGAAAAATGAAAACACAAATTAATTTAGAAACCGCTAGAAGCATATGAATAAACTAACTATTTATAAAGATTGTTCTAGTCTTACAAAAGATAAAGTCCGACTGATCACACCCCTTTAAATATCTTAACATTAAATACCTCTAGCATGACATGAAGCATGTAAAATCAAAATGTCACTTTATCCACAGAAATTGCAAGTTCAACAGAAATTTAACTATAACAACAATTTGGTTTAAGTGGCTCTATCCATCTCAAATATTTAATGTTCTATAAAAGAAATGCAATTGAGTGTTGATTGTGTGAATACCTTGAGTGCATTTCAGATATATGCGACCATTCTTCATCATCTAAGGTGGGGTCTTTTGCTCATCCATACTGATAAATTAATCCATGTGACTGTCAAAATGAGCAAGACTTGTCGACTCATAGTCATGCTTGCAAAACGAATGGTACCATTAAAAAAAAATTAAAAAAGAAAGAAAAAGAAAAAAGAGAGAAAAGAAAAAAAGAAGAAGCAAAGATCTAATTGTAGTTATCATACTATTATACAAATGTGTAATTAACTAATGAAAACTGCATACTTCACAAGAAGTTCAATGAAGAAAGGGATGCATGCGTAAAACAAACTATATCATTAAAGCATGAGAAAGACAACTACCAACACTTGCACATTCCATTATCAAAAGAAAATCAAATAGCTAAACACTTAGGGCCCGTTTGTTTTGGGGTTAAATAGATAGGAGGGGATTAGGATGGAGGTAAGGTTATTTAGTGTTGTGTTTGTTTGTAGAGTTGGGGAGGGAATTAGGATGATGGAGGTGATATAGATGGAGGTTGGAAGGGGGATTGAGATGGAGGAAGTGGAGATGGTATTAGAAAAATAGTAAAGGGATTAGAAATTTTTTTATTTTTTATATATTGGGAATTTTTTTTTATAAATATTAATGTTTAATTTTTTATATTTTTTTTTATTATTTTATACATATAAAAATAATTTAACAATTCCTACATTAACAACTATCATCAAAACAAACATAATTTTACTTAATCCCATCACTATCAATTCCCTCACTAACAATCCCCTCCATTCTACCTCTGAAGACAAACGGGGCCTTAGAACTACTAAACCAAGAATCTCTGATACCACTTGATTCATCTTAAATGATACACTATCTGATTTTAGATTATTCATAATTGTCAATTTATATAAAGAAGACATTACCTCTTTTGATCCACAGAAGCGCTCTAGTTTATCACTTGCAGACAATTCTGTCAGCTTCATCGTTTCCTTGCCATAATATTTTTTAATCACAAACATGTTGGCTTAAAAGTGTGTTGCAGGTGCAGGATAACTTTGGCGCAGGCTACAAAATAAAATAGGCCGGATAGACCATGATTTCCAAGAAAAATCAATTGCTGAGTTACATACATATAGAGAGCAATGTGATTGTGGGGCACCTAAGTTGCAGGTGCAGGGCACTTAAACATGTATGGACATAAAAGTCCTATCTTTTTTATCGTAATTATAACTTTTGAGGTCATTTTAGATATTAGCAAAAAAGTTATGTAACATCTTATTTAACCAAACATGTTTAACTTCTATAACAAATTATTAAAAGCTATACCAAACTGATTTACAATTTATTTAAAAAACAATTAAGGTTATAATCTTAAAAAAAAATTATAATCATAAAAGGTAACTTATAAGTGATAACCAAATAGGCCCAAAATAACATCCTCAAATAGTGAAGCTACAAGTAAAACAATCCTGCTGTCAAAATTTTCTACATAGTACATCAACAAAAACTAAAACTTACTTCTAGCAGGATCAGCCATACCAAGGTGTTGATGAAGCTTTGGATCAAGAACTTTCATTATTCCTGCAAGTGTACTCAATTGAGACTGCACCCCTATAGAATGCGCATTAGATCTGAAATTTTCTCTTTTTCAAATAAAAGCGAGGAAATGAGTCCTAAACCCAAGAAAAAGTCTGAAAGATGAAAAGCACTATGACTCACAGTTAAGAAATTAAGATGCAACTTTGTGAGGAAAAGCAACAAAATCAGGTAACCCTGTCCTAAATAACAGGTTTGCTAAATGCAACATACTTGAGTAGTCAGAGTCTGTAGTAAAAAAAACTAAAGAACCTTCAAAGTGCCCTAATTGCTGCATACATATAAACCAACCATAACCTAGAAAAATGTGAGGCATTCCCCTAAAAGTTTGTCACCCACTTGGCCTGTCAACAAAAAGCTAGAAATCAGAGTTGAAGTTAACAATTCTACCCAACAAAACCTTAGTCCTACTAATTGTAGGCATGGCCTGATTTCGTTTGACTATTTTGCCCTATGGAGAAACAACTACTATCAGAGAGTAGGATTTCTACACTCCAGGTGTTCAGGAACTAGCTATGCAATAATGCTGATATCCCAAAAATTGAAACCAGAAGGCCAAAAAAGTATACCCATCCCATTGGAATTCACTAAATACCAAACCCAACTAACTCAAGTAACTATTTTTCACTAAAACAGATCAATTCTACATTCAAGAATGAAGGAGCAATTAAATAAAGTAGGCAGTTGGGTCACATTATTAGTTTTAATAACAATGTCACCTTTGATAATGAAATAGATGCATACCAATCTGCGCATTGCCCGCTCAAAACAATAAAAGGTGTCTGCTTTGTTTTCCATAAGAATAACCATTGGAGAGCAAATATCATTCATTCCTGTTCAAGGAAAAAAGTGTGAAAACCATTGAAAATACCTAAACATAAAACAGTTTCAGCATAACTGTCCTTGGATTCAGGGGAACTCGCCTTGAACATATCCAATAGAATTATCAACCCAAGCATAAATGGCAAGAATGTTCCAAAGTTTTGTCTGATTGGCTTTACTCTCATAAAAGACAAAAGCACGATCAGTGCGTATAACATCCAAACCTACATCCCAAATTTCACTAGTCATGTTAAGAAGAACGGAAGTCAATGAAAAGATTATTACCAACAATAAAATCACCCTAATAGAATATGCATTAGAATACTGGTGGTGAATTCAAATGTAAAAAGGACACCCATATGGCAATTCAATATGCCCTGAGGTATCCTTTTGACACTTCAAAAGATGCATCCACGTGTCTATAAATTATTGACAAGTAGAAACAACTTAAGGGCAATGTTATCTACAATCCAATTTAGGATTTCTTATAATAACACTTTGCAGTGGTGTTAAAGAAGCAAAAAAAAGTGGAATGAACAGTGCAGTACCACAATAACAAAAAAATAAAAAAAAAATTGAATAATTTTACTGACGAATCAGTTTTACACCAGTTACAAACCAATTTGATGCAAGCCAAGCTTCCACTGAGTCACTTTCTTGTCTAAACCAGTAAATTTCTAGGCATATGGAAATTTTCTGGCTGGGCATATTGAAATGGGTAATTTTTTCATTTTGCTCGATCTGCTTTGATAGCAGGAAAAACTTGATCTGCTCAGATGAGCCAAATGCTTGTGTTAGGCATCTCCAGTATACTCAAAATTTTACTTTAAAAAAAAAAATTTACTCCCTAAACAGAGAATAAGAGAAAGTCAAACCAGGGGCTAACCATTATCAAAAGGCTCACATCGAGGAAACATAATTAAATAGGAATGCAAATAAGAAGCAAAATCTACCAAAATGAGAAGGAGAAAGGGAAAATCTACCAAAATCTATAAAACAAGAAAACTAAAAAAAAAACATAGCAGAACTCACAAAGTTGTTATCAAAACTTCAGCGAGTAGAGAAGATATGACGGCTATCAGCAAGGCTACTAGAGGTGATGGCGATGGCGATGGCGATGGCGATCGGCGTAGTGGAAGAGCGAGAGATGAGTGAGGCATAGTAGAGGAGCAAGAGATGAGTGTGAGACAAATGTTGTATACGATGAGATGAGGGGGGTGAGTGTGTTAGAGCATCTCCAATGGTAGTTGGCATTTTACCTATCTAAATATTACTATAAAGTATATATTTTATTTTGCCTATCAACTGTTTTATGTTTTTTAATCACATGTTCTTTATTTTAGCTATTAATCCAAATATTATTAATTTTATAGAATGCCACGTCAACAACAAAGATGGAGGGAAATGATCCTAATGATTGAATACATTTTGCCTAGCGTTGAAGGCTAGCTACATGTAGCTAGTGAATATGAGTTGAGCCAAAATGCCTAATCATATGCCTAGTGCGTTGGAATTGAAAAAAGTGAATCACACTAGGCATTTTAACTAACAAGTATTATATGCCTAGTGCATTGGAGATGCTCTTAGGGTTTAATTAGGGAATTGATTGTGTGTGTGTGTGAGTAGTAAAATAAATATTCACACTTATTTAAAATGTGTAATTAAAAAAATATTATCTCACTCATTAAATTAAGTGTGATTAAAAAATCATTTAGTTTTTTTAATCACACTTCTAATAAAAGTGAGATAATTTTAAATCTTCTTATGTAATTTTTAATCACATGTTAGTTAGAATGTGTGATTAAAAAAAAAGAAAAATATATATATATATATATAATCACACTTAATTGAAAAGTGATATAAAAAATAAATATTGTCACACTTAATCAAATAAAGTGTAATTAAAATATCAATCTAATTTTTTTATCACACTTCCAATAAAAGTGAGATATTTTCATTTGTCAAAGTGTGATCTTTAACTGTTTTTGAAGTAGTGATGATAATTGAGAGGGAAATTTGTACCGAACAAAAGGACCGAGCTAATTCCACCATTGGTGATTGCCATGGCGTTTCTCTGACCGAGCTAATTGTGCAGTCAGGCTTTGAGCAGTAGCACGACGATGGTCCCATGGGTGAGGTTCACATGCTAAACCGAGCTCAGCTCGGCTAAAAGTGGCTCTGAGTGTTGTTGTAGCTAGTTTTTCGCGCTCCTCGAAGGAATTTAGTCTCATCGAATGCAATTCCCTATAGTTCAAACTCCCGTGATTATGAATTTGGTTTCATGAGTGCAATGCGAAACAAAAGAAAATGAGAGTTCAAATCTAGCAAATCCCAGAAAAATCCACTAATTGCAAGAAATGCCAAAAATGGACTGCATTGTCAGATTTCAGAGTCGCCACCTATTATTTTTTGGGAGAATTAGGAAACCCATGACTTGTGCCAAAGGCCACTTCTCCGTCATAACCAAAGTTGTTTCTGTTCGGGAACTTAGGTATGAGAGGGGAAGGTCATGAATTAAGCATCACACTCACCCGATCAAAGATCGGCCTTTACTAAATCATGATGTGAATTTTATATACATTATATACTCATATCCTGATTTATTAATATGGTAACATTACTATGTGAGGCAAACAAGTATAGACCGTGTCACTTACTTTGGAATGTTTTGATTTCATGCTTTTTAATATGTGCAACTCAAAGAAAAAATGAGCTCATATGTACAACAATCAAAGCCATTCCAATTTAAGCAAAGTAGCTTCCATCCACAAGCATTCATAGATTATTTCAAGTAAGCAAATAGCCTCATGGTAATATACTCGACATGGTAATACACACACGTATGATATGCTAAAGCAAAAAATACTCACATAATATTCATCCGCGACAAGCCAAAGAAAAAAAGATGATTAGAAAAATGCATGATCCTAAAAATGCACATGACTAATGCAATACATACAAAATGCAATTGCTAGATTCAGCTACTAAAATGACATGTGAAGCAACTCAAAGTATGAGGTAGTGCACATAATCAAGTAGGAAATGATAGCAACATCATGTATGATGAGCCAAACTTTAATGCGTGCAAAAATGGATGCGAGGCATAGGAACTATATGAAACAAAAACATGATGCTATAAACAGCAATAATAAGCATGTAAATAAAATAGAGAAAGAAATAGGGGTTGGAAGACATATATCAACTATTACAAATTTGTCCTCTTACAAAAGCGTCTGAATGTCGTAATTAACTACTTATTACATCACCAAATAAATAATTACTTAATTATTACATTTGCAAATATTATAGCCAAAAAAAAAAAGACAAGGACTAGGGATGGCAATTTGAACCTGGCCCGACAGAGACCTGAACCCCCGACCCCAAATTGAGCGATTTTTTCTCGAAAATTACTCCCGACGGGCCAAGAATGGTATTCAAAAATAAATCCCCGATAATATTCGGGCTAGGTATGGTGATATATTTTCCAACCCCAGACCCGGCGCGACCCCAACCCCGCCTCGTTTAGGCCCCGATTTATATATGTGTGTTTAGGGTTTGGTTAACTCATACACAAACACAACCACTGCTCCTCTCTCTCTCTCTATCGCCTCCCTCCACTACAAGAAATTTCACTTTTGGCGACTAAAATTTTAGTCGCCAAAAGCCTTATTTTAGTCGCCAATTACTTTTGGCGACTAATATATTTGGTCGCCAATGGTTCGTCGGCAAAGAATTGATGACAAAAAAAATTTTGGTAGCCAAAAGTGACTATCAGCGACTAAAACTTTAGTCGCCATTTTTTACTTTTAGCAACTAAATTATTTAGTAGCCAATTGAGCATGTATGTTTGGTGACTAACAATTTGGTAACCAAAGGTTTCACTTTTGAGAAGTTACGACTAAAAATTTAGCAGACAAAAGTTTCCTTTTTACAATTGATGACTAAAAGTTTAGTAGCCAAAATTTTTACTTTTTAACAATTGGTGACTAAAATTTTAGTAGCCAAAGTCAACCTGTGATATTTGTTTAGTCGCCAAAAGGTGTCATTTAGTTTTTATAATTTGTTCTGTAATATTTTTTTGCTCCACCTGTAACATATGCATATACAAAACTATTCATCCATTCATTTATTCATTCAATTCTCAACCATTCAATGAAAATATTTCTCCACAACTTGTAGCATTCAATTTCCAGTCATATACAAAACTTAACTATTAATCGTACATATCAAAGAAAATAAAAATCCATAAACATAGTATAATCCAACAAATACATATACAATCCAAACCAACAATTAAAATCTAAATTAAATAAAATCTTAATTAACAAAACATATCAGGGTCTCCATCTCCTTATCACGTGCTCTTGATGCAGCTTCGGATATGGTAAAAGAGGGTCTCCATCTCATTATATTGTTCAATCCTTACATGTAGGTCACCGCATCAGGGATCAATCCAGTCATTTGTCTTCTTCAACTTGTGAGACTTCTCATAGAATTTGCAAAAATTAGGCAACTCTTCGTCATTCTCATCTACCTGTTAATGTCTCATCTAACAGAACTGTTTTAAGCAAAGAATCGAAATGTGGAAAAAAAATTAAGAAAGAATCCAGTGACACAAATATGAACATAAATCTAGAAATAGAAACCTGTCTAAATTCAGACAAAAGAATTAAGCTCTAACATTCTAAATAGAATGTAAATATAAAAAAACTTCGTTAAACACATTAGTATCAACAAACCCATTAACCCACATAAAAAAAGTCATTAAATTTTTTTCTTTTCCTGGGACCAAATAAATATTTTTTAGAGATAAACAAATAAATTTATAATACAAATAATCACAGGATTAGAGATAAAACAAGTAAATTTATAAAACAAATTAACATAAACACATCAATAATCAATCAGAAAAGGAAGTTGGACACCATTTAATCCATCAACAGTTTCGATGCAATGGGGGTGACAATGGAGAATAAAAGGAAGGGCAAGAACGTGGTCAATCACATTC